GAAAATGACAAAAGTATAATGATAAAAATAATTTGTTGTAAGATACGGGAGAAGAATTTTGGCACTGAACTTAAAGGAAGTAAATTTAAGTGTTTGAAAACGAACATTAGTCTGAATGTGGGATGAAATCGGGCATGTGGAGTTTATGTTTACTAAGTTGTAAATCTAAACATCTTAGTTGAGAGTGCAGTGTATTAAATGGGGAGAAGGTGAGGGAGCTCTTACAATCTGGATGGGTGGGAAGAAATGTTCAGTGTGTGATAAGACTGCAAACCAAATGGGGCCCCAGTCCAGATAGGCCCCAACTAACCTAACATTATGATTGGGACCCATGAAGACTAGGTCCCTTTAGGACTGGTCACCGATGTAGTTGCATCAAGAATGGGAACAAGGTGCAAATACAAATTATAATAAAACGTAACTCAAGAATGAAGAAAATTTATGGTAAAGAACGAAATTCAGAGGAAGATTTACGGGATAAAAAGGAACTTATTAGAGATAAGTGGTTGAAGGTAAAGTTAAATGATAAGAACATTTGGACCGTAAGACGAAATATACTTCTGTGGAAAATATTTACGTCAGCACAGTGGCCGGCAGGAGGGAGAGATGATATAAACTCAGAATTTTAGAGATTGGTAAACTTTTTATTAAGTTCTTGGAGCATGTCGGTGTGTTGTGGCAAACGAATAACAAGGAACCAGGTACAGAGAGGCGAGTTATGAAATAACTTGAAGATTCGTTCCTAGTTTATTTCGCCTGAAGATAACCACCCTAATACTATTTTGTTTTTTGTTTTTTTAAGTTTCGTTAGGTTAAGTTTGGATAAAGAGTTTAAGCCTTAGGTGGAATATATAAACAGGAGGATGGGTTATTATTCAGGTGATTCGACGTAAGTTTGAGGCTGGAAGAGCGAAGTCTCACTGACGAATTCGTTTAATGGGCGGAATGAGTAATTATGACACAACCAAGCATGGCGAAAGTCTTGAGTCACCGCCTTAAGCAAAAGAAGATGAGGAAAATTAGTTGAAATTGAACCATATTACAGTTGAACCTCGATCATATGTGGTTCTCAACCATAAATAAGGAGCATTACAGTAATTGCACACCTCTCTCTCTCGTTTCTATCAATTGGTCTCAAACATTATTTTTTCTCGATACCCTCTCATGCTTCTTTTCGTTTATCAGGCTTAATCTTAGCGACCTTGGCTACCCCTGGTGACAAATTCCTTACTAATCTTGCGTTGTAAACTGATGCCATATTCTTGCCTTGAAATTTCTCATCATGGAACACTAATCACCGTCACCTTCATATAAATACTTTTGTAAGATATATTCTTTTTGTATCCCCAAGTCATGGGTCAGGTATTCAAAACTGCCTCCATGTAAACAGACTGCGCATTACCCAAACACGATCAGTCTATCGATATACACTAATGGGTCTCGTATTACGTTGTACTAGAAATCTGTTACGTTCACGTCATGAGACTCACATTACAGTATTTCCTGTTTATGCAGAAGTTATTATTATTTAAGTAACTTTTTTTAAGGTTAAAAAACTAACATTTTATGTACCTATTATACAGTATATGCTTTTCTTCGTTTCGATCCTGTTTAAGAAGTCTTCTGTATAATTGACTGCTGTTAGTATGTTCAATTTTAGACGTTATAGTCGTGTAGGTGAATATAATCATCTGACCTAATTAGTTCTGGCTGTTGAATGTGTTGTAAACGGAGTGAACACCCGTCAGCACCTGCTAGTAGAGCACAACTGTCAACACCTGCGAGTAGTGAACAGCTATCAACACCTGCTGGTAGAGAACAGCTGTCAACATCTGCTAGAACAGTACACTGTGGTGAATTTCAAAGGATTAGTTTAATATCCGCGTGACTACTGTAGACGGATTTACAGTATACCTGTATATATCTGGTGTGTTCTACTTGTGGTGGATTGTGGTGTGGTGGTAGATTTGGTTGTTGTGGTCGATTGTGGTTCTTTTTCTTTCTATCTGTATATTTGTCTTATCTTTTTTTTCTCTCAAGATTTCATGTCTATCTATTAATATATCTATCTATTTATCTGTATGTAACTGCAAAACTGTGTATCTGTCTGTCTACTCGCTTTTCATAGTTTTTTCCTGTTTCTTTCCCTCCTTTTATTCGTAAGTCTGTCATTACGCCCTCTCTCTCTCTCTCTCTCTCTCTCTCTCTCTCTCCATTAACTTCAACAGTGTTGACCTTTACACATTTTATTTCTTCATTTGTTATTTTTCCACTTTTACTTGTTCTCCTTTCTTCGTTTCTGTTATTCTTTTGCTGTTCCTGTTTTAGTTCTGTTGTCTGTCTTCTTGTTTTCCGTAATTTTTCTTTTTTGAAAACTTTGTTTTGTTATCTTTGTGGTGTCTGTTTTTGTTATCTTTCATTGTCTGTTGTTGTTTGAATGTTTGTAACTGGATGGGAATGAAAGAGGGAAATGATAATGAACACAAGAATGGAGGAAACTGCAGCGGGCCTATTGGCCCATACTGGGCAGTCCCGTTTACACCCAACCCCTATTGCTCATATAAGCATCCAACCTATGTTTGAAGCAATTCAGCGTATTCGAGTTAATGATGATATTTGGTAACTTGTTCCATTCATCCACTACTCTGTTTCCAAACCAGTGTTTACCTATTTCACGCCTAAATCTAAATTTGTCTAATTTAAAACCATTGTTACGAGTTCGCTCCTGGTTGGATAATTTGAGTACCTTTGTAATGTCCCCTTTGTTTAGCCCTGCCTTCCACTTATACACCTCTATCAGGTCGCCCCTCGCTCTACGTCTCTCAAGGGAGTGCAAATTAAGATGCTTTAACCTGTCTCTATACTCAAGGTTCCTAATGCCCGGGATTAGTCTTGTCATTCTCCTCTGAATTCTTTCCAAGGATTCTATATCCATTCTGTAATACGGTGACCAGAACTGAACTGCGTAATCCAGGTGTGGTCTCACAAGAGCAAGATACAGTTTTAGGATGACCTCGCTAGTCTTGTAACTAACACTCCTTTGTATGAACCCAAGTACTTTATTAGCCTTGTTACGAGCAAAAACACATTGTTTACTTGGCTTAAGGTTCCTACTTATCATTACTCCTAAATCTCTCTCGCAGTCGGATTTCTCTATGGCATCGTTGTTCATCTGGTATCTGGTTTCCCTGTTTACATCTCTATACTGAGTACTTTACATTTGTCGACGTTGAATTTCATCTGCCATTTTTCAGACCATTCGAAAAATTTGTTTAGATCTTCCTGTAGTTTTGCCGAGTCCTCGTCGGATTTGATAACACGTCCTATTTTAGTGTCATCAGCAAATTTACTTATGTTGCTGTCTATGCCGATATCTATGTCGTTTATGTATATAATAAACAATAATGGTCCAAGTACTGAGCCTTGGGGAACTCCACTTGTGACGTTGCTCCAATGGGACTTAGTGCCGTTAATGCTCACTCGCTGTTTCCTGTCCTGTAACCACGCCCTAATCCATGGTTACAAGACAGGAAACAGCATAAGTAAAGGGAACATGTACATGTAACAAGACATAACTTGCATAGAAGATATTACATATAGGTAGAATATTTATAGTAGAAGGAATGTAAAGGGAGGAAAAGCTTGGAAGCGTGGCCGGTTAGTTATTTACACTGTCAATACACTTATCTTATCTCGTATGTCAATACACCTATATTACCTATCACGTATCACGTAGTTCGTTCTTAAGGGACAACTTGTTAAACACCACTTCGATACAACTATTTATTAATTCACTCAATGACATGGACACATCAATATTAATATTATATCGGAGTTACTAGCACATCATATTTACGTTACTCGACACTGACTCTCGGACACAAACATGAAATGAATACACTTCCCACAGTAGGTAACTCACCCTAGGAATCGTTCTGACAAAGACTCGCGTGTAACCTGACGTAGGCCCAGTGGGTGCTCGCTGGGCTGCCTCCTACGGGAGAATCTGCTTAGCTGGTGAGGGCAGGGTCTGGTCGGGAAGTCTCCCTCCCGACCTGGGGAGGGGACGAGCGTGACTCTGTGCTAGTTAACAGAATGACGACCCCGACGGGAAAGATGACAGTAACCAGACTGACAGAATGACAAAGATGAGAAAGCTCCCCCGTTGCAGGACTGCAGGGCCTTTATATGGGGCCTCAACAGCCGGCGTTTGACCTCTACCAATTAACACTAAACTGGTTAGGTCTGGACAGCTGTGTTCAGGTGTGGTCATGCCCAGGTGTGTCTTGGCCAGGTGGGGTTGTAGGTCAAATCACTTGCTAACTCGAGTAATTAGCGGACGAGGTCAGGTCCCTTGGGTCCCGACCCAAGGTGTGTCTACTTGGTATGTGTTGGTACCACGAGGTCTGTACCCACTCAGTTATGTGTGTTGTAATTCTTTGGGCTGTAAGCTATGGTCTGACAATCGATCATTACATACATATTCTAGGGGTGACGTGATGATGTATGGCATATGATGTAAATTGATTATGGAAAGTGACATAAAAAAGATTGTAGAAATAGATTGTGTGGCTTGAAGAAAAGGTAAGGGGTGGAAATGAGGGATAGGTCGTTCTTGAGGCAACTAGTTGTAGATTCTATTTTTTTTTTTGCATCTTTTTACTTTTCTAATCACAATAATCACAGATAAAATAGATATATAATATAGTATTGTATATAGGAATTGGATGGCTGGTTTTAGTGGAGATTGGTTGATTCACACACACACACACACACACTCTCTCTATCCTATCTTAATCTTCCAGGTGGAATACAAGTGACTCGCTGAATATCTCTTCTATATGTGCGCATGTGACTCCTGTGTATTATTGCATCTTACTCTTACAGGTGTGATAAGTGTGACTTACCGAATCATAAAGGCGTGACACATGTGGCTTACTATACAACATCTTACTCTTGAAAACTTTGCACACCTGATTTACCGTATCTTATTCTTACAGGTGTGGAGAGAAGACACCTGTAGCCACAAAAATTAAGGTAAGGAGCAATATCTGTTTCTGAAAGGTTAATAGACGTGAGATTGCAAGTAACTGGTTCTACAGTATCAGTTTAAGTTCTCAAAAATTAATACGATATTTCCCTTTGTATGGGTCATTTGAGATAGAAGGAAAAGATGGCGGCTAAAATAAAACTAGAATTATACACACAAACACACCCCAACCTACTACTACTACTACTACTACTTTGCTGTCACTCGGAATTGAGTATGACGATCATCCAGCTATGATACAATGGTATGAGTTATTTACGATGTCACCTAGGTTGGTGAGTTTTGAGGTGACTAAAGAGGCCGATACGGGACCGGCAGAGTCGTTCACAGATGTTGCACATGTGGGGGGGGGCTACATCTAGTGCGGGAGGGGAGGTGGCAGCGTCTTTCCGACGTTGGCGCTTGTCTACCTCGTTATGTAGTCGGGGTAACTCAAAAGTATTGACACCTTCTCGTGTGGTACTCCTCCAAGCGTTACGATGTGGAGTAATCGACTAGCAGGTGAGGGGGTCGATTTGGCACTTTTTCAGGTTTGTCTTAAGACTATCCTTATACCTTTTCAATTGCCCGCCAGCATTATGTTTACTATTCGTTAGGTGACTGTGAAGTAGCTGCTTTGGCAGTCTACTGTCGTCCATGCCGGTAACATGGCCAGTCCAGCGTAGTTGTTCATGGCTAATGGTAGCTATGAGCCTACAGTTGGTGTCAGCAAGAATACTTGCATTTGTTCTTTTGTCTTCCCAGCGAACTCGGAGGATGGATCGTAGACTACGTTGGTGAAAGTTTTCAATTGCCTTGAGGTGCCTCCTGTATGTGACCCATGTCTCGCTGCCATATAGCAGGGTGGGGAGGACCACTGCTCGATTTGTGTGTAACTTTGTAGATAATTTCAGCTCCCTACAGCTGAAGACACGGTTTCGGAGTCTGCAAAAGGCTTGAGGTGCACATCTGATCCGACGCTGAATCTGTTCATCTATGTCAAGACACACATAAACACACACACGCACACACACACACACACACACACACACACACACACACACGTGCACACCTACTCCCAACATACTCCACCCACCCCTACCCCCAACATACACCATCCATCCCTACCCTCAACATACTCCACCCACCCCTACCCAAACATACACCACCCATCCCTACCCCCAACATACTCCACCCACCCCTACCCCCAGCATACACCATCCATCCCTACCCTCAACATACTCCACCCACCCCTACCCCAACATACACCATCCATCCCTACCCTCAACATACACCACCCATCCCTACTCCCAACATACTCCACCCACCCCTACCCCCAACATACACCATCCATCCCTACCCTCAACATACTCCACCACCCCTACCCCAACATACACCACCCATCCCTACTCCCAACATACTCCACCCACCCCTACCCCCAACATACACCATCCATCCCTACCCTCAACATACTCCACCCACCCCTACCCCCAACATACACCACCCATCCCTACCCTCAACATACTCCACCCACTCCTACCCCCACCCTACACACGCCTCCAGTCAAGATACCCTAAGATGTACATAACAGCTCAATTGGCAGTAATCTCGCTCTAACCACTCACCTCCCACATTACCGTCAGATAAGCCCATTAGCGCGCTTAAATAATCGTTCCCTGACGTCTCCTGGTGCTTAAGGTCAGTAAACTACCATCAAGTGCCTCTAACAGCCTCGTTAGAGAGGATAAACGGTGGTTTTATTTACATGTCAGGCACTGAGATGAGAGGACAGCTGTGTATGTTGTGGTTGTGATGTGTACAACGTTCCGAATGATGGATTTTTAAGCTGCAGTGTGACTGGTGAATTTCAAATGGCCCCAATGTGATTGGTTGGATTTGAAATTGCACTCGCCAAGTGTGAGCTCTGAAATAGGATAAGCGTTGATTGGTAAAGTTGATATAGCAGTTCCATGATTGGTGGATTTGGTAAAATGTAGTAAATAGAAGCGATTTGATTGGTGGTTCTAAAACAATCTAATCGTAAACAATAATGTAACATAATCTAACATAACTTAATGAACCAAATTAAAATCTAAGATAACAAAATCTAAATTAACGTAATTTAACAAGTTAAATCTAAATCAATCTTACAAACTAATTTACCGTAATTTAATCTGACCAAATCTACCTAAACCCTAAATTAACCTAACCTAACCTAACCTAACATGAAGCGATGGAACTTTTGATTACTAAAATATATTGTTCCTGAATTCTGTCAAGTGGTCTATGTCTAGAGTGGGACATATCCGTGGGAGATTAGTTAGTTGTTCGCTGAAAGGTGGTGGTGACGTGACTCCCGTTTTTGTTTACGTGACGGAACAGTGGAAGTCCTAGATCTGCTGTGCTAGAGAGAGACCGACCGATTCATCTCTCATGTTTGAGTTTGATAGAGGACAGATAGCCAATGTAAGCAGGTAGTACCAAGTGCAACCCCCTGGGGAGCGTGTTAGAACCGCTGGTATACATCACTGATTTACCTGATTGCGTGTCTACAGACATGTACCTTTTCGCTGATGTTGGGAAGATGTTCTAACGTATTCCATCTGACCAGGACTATTTTCAGCATCGGCTAACTATAAGCAAGCCCCGTAAATGGTCAGATACATCGTTACTCCGTCGTCACCCAAACAAATGTATAATGTTAACTATTGACATAACAGGAGAGAAAAAAAACATTGACTATATCATATGAAACCTGAAAACGAAGAAACCGAACTTAAGAAAACACAGAAGGAATAAGACCTCGGTGTGATATATGACAGCAGATTGTTATATGAATATCACATAAACATCAAGATCAGGAGAGCAACCAGATGGTGGAGGTGGTCAGGCGAATATTCACTCACAAAAAAGATAACTAACGATGGCTGTACAGAGTCCTGGTGCACAACGGCAGTATGGCGCCCCCACACGATGAAAGACATCCATTCAGTAGGAATTGTTCACAAACCGTCAGCTAAATTGGTACTCGACCTGAGACTTCATCAGCAGTGTGCCTTAGAATAACTGGGGAGAGGACTGACATATTCAACAGGATGAAAAGATTAGGCCATGAAGAAGTTTGCCTGAGATTGACATCAAGTAACGGCAACACTAGATGTTGCAATTCTAAATTGTAGACACTTGTATACTCTAAACTGAGGCAAAACATTTATCACATTGTACTGTGGACGCAAGTGACGTGACAGGAGGCCACGTCACCAAACGTGCTGACTTTCAAGAGACGACTGGACAAGCATTAAGTAGATCAAGGTGTTATGTACTCGGTATTCTGTGTGGTTCTGCACCGATTTTTGTCCCACAAATAAAAAAAAAAAAATCTGGACATTCGAGCTTGATGCTCTCGTCCACAATGCACAAATTGTATCGAGTAATTTTTTACGGGGAGAGAGAGAGAGAGAGAGAGAGAGAGAGAGAGAGAGAGCTATCATATTACCACTAGTCACATAAACCAATAACACTATTCCTGTCCTCCCCACTGTCGGTTTCCTCGTCCTTCCTTCCTCCCCCCTGTCCTCCTTCTTCTCTCTTTTTAGTCTTCTTTCTTACCACCCCCCATGCAGTACCTCTTTCCCTTTGGTGCTTGTGTGATCAGTAAGGGGAGAATACACGACTCCCTCAGGCTTGTCAGAGTCTCAAGGCTTCCTGCCACTGACCAGAAAACGCATTTATTTACAGTAGAGTCTCCTTGCATTTTCGATGCCATTAGTAGCCAGTGGTCCAGTTATACAGAACCGTCTTCACATTCCCACTTAAAGGAGAACATTTTACTCTAACGATGATGGGAAATTTGTCGTGGTCAACTGTTAACTTCCTGTACAAGGTGGAAGGAGAGATAAGATGGACTTGGTTCTATCTATCTATCTATTTATTAAATCTATCTGTATTTAACTATCTATCCTGTCTTCCTTTCTATCGTTTCTCTTTGTCTCCATCTCTGTCATTCTATACCCTTTTAAATTCGCTATTCATCGTCTCTCTCTCTCTCTCTCTCTCTCTCTCTCTCTCTCACACTCTCTCTCACACACACAACTATTTTGTCAATTGAGATTTGTGTCCTGTGCGATTTTGTCCGTGTTCCAGTATAGAAAGAGTCAGGATGGTGGAGGGGCAGAAGGGAAAGAGGAGGAGGGGAGGGAGAGTGGAGGGTAAGAAGGGAGAGTGGAGGGGTCGACGCTTTCGTGACTGCCTGGCGTGATCTAAGTTATGTTGCTTGACTGTGATTTGTGTGTGTGTGTGTGTGTGTGTGTGTGTGAATAAGCCGATTTAACTTGACTAACCTTCTCGATAACATACCCAACATCTTAAATATAACGACGAAGATAAAGCAGTCGAGTTCATTCATTCTGATATGGATAAAAGGCATGAAAATATACCTTACCAAAGATAGTTATCGAGCCCGGTATAGATGGTCGAGTGCGTCACTATTAAGGGAACTGACTAACTAGACGTAAACAGAGAGAAGTTATAAACACACAAGCCTCAGACTGATTAAACAAAACTTGCGGAGTGTCACAGGGACAAGTTTGGGGACCTTTATTGTTCTTAAAGAATATTTATTTAAACGATGGGGTAACCTGTAAGATATGTCAATGTTCTGATGATACTTACGGGAGGAGAGTAATAACATCACTCGATCGCCAGCTGTTACTGGACGATTTGGAGAAACGATTTGTCTGGCTTGAACAAGTATAGCTGACGATATATTTGTTTGCTTTCATTTCCCCAACTGTAAAGCTTAGCATGCTGGATACGAACCAATGACTTTTAGGACAACAGGCGAATGCTGTATCCGCTTGGCCGCAGCATCGCTTGTCTGGAATGGAAAATTGGTTCCTAGACGTGGCTGCACATAACAGTTTGGGCAGTGATGCACTCAATCGCTATTACATCCCCATTTTTTAAAGTTCGGTACCTATTTACAGCTGAGTGGAGTGAACCGTGTGTG